TTAAACAACGTAAACTTGTAAGCTTTTCACATAACAATATTATGTCAAAAGTACTGTATTTATTTCTAATAATGCATTTTGCCTAATTTACAGCATTTTATTTGGCATAAAGAGTTTCCTTGTAAAATATATTTAAATTCAGCCTGAGGACACTTGACCCATTTATATTGTCATAAAAATATTTGTTATTTTTGATACAAAATAAACAAATTAACTGCTGTCTGAGACTCTTTATATATATTATGCATGTAAAACCCATGGTTGCTAGATGACCCCATTTATCCTTGGTTTTACCCTACCAAGGATAACGTCCTATCAAACCTAAATGACCTAAATAGTCAACAAAATGTGAATGCCCTTTTTTTCAGCCCAGCAATATTCCCGCCCCATCGAAGGTACCTAGTGGACCCACATATCCTTGGTCACACCATACCAATGATATAGTCCTGGTGAACCTAGAGGATAAACAAACAAATTAACTAAAAATACAAAAAATATATTTACGACTGCTGTCTGAGACTTTTTATATATATCATGCATGTAAAACCCATGGTTGCTAGATGACCCCATTTATCCTTGGTTTTACCCTACCAAGGATAACGTCCTATCAAACCTAAATGACTATTTGTCAACAAAATGTGAATGCCCTTTCTTTCAGCCATCGCCCAGCAAAATCCCCGCCCTCATCGAAGGTACCTAGTAGACCCAGATATCCTTGGTCATATCTTACCATTGATATAGTCCTGGTGAACCAAGAGGACCGAATCCCTGCAAAATGCGCACGGAAACGGTCCAGATATATGTATGATTTTTAGCACATTGTGGGTATGCAATGAAATTTTTCATTCATAAAAATTTTAGTTCGTCTGCCTACTGGGCATTTCTGTTTGCCTGGTACTTCTGCCGAATTTCCGCTGAAATCTTGGCACCCAACTGCTCCTCCGCACGCCCCGTGTGGGTATGCAATGAAATTTTTCATTCATACAAATTTTAGTTCGTCTGCCTACTGGGCATTTCTGTTTGCCTGGTACTTCAGACGAATTTCGCTGAAATCTTGGCACCCAGCTGCTCCTCCGCACGCCCCGTGTGGGTATGCAATGCAATTTTTCATTCATAAAAATTTTAGTTCGTCTGCCTACTGGGCATTTCTGTTTGCCTGGTACTTCAGACGAATTTCGCTGAAATCTTGGCACCCAGCTGCTCCTCCGCACGCCCCGTGTGGGTATGCAATGCAATTTTTCACTCATAAAAATTTTAGTTCGTCTACCTGCTGGGCATTTCTGTTCGCCTGGTATTTTCGCCAATTTTCGCTTAAATCTCATGCCCCCTCACAGCAGCAGCTGTTAACAGTGGTATGTTAAGTAACAGCTACTTAACAGTGAACTGTTAATTTACAGAAGGTTAACAGTGAAATGTTAAATAACAGAAGCCGCAGCTAATTAACAGTTTACTGTTAAAAAACTTGCAAGTCATCCTTGTTGCACCTTGTGGGTATGCAATGATTTTTCAAATACATTTTTTGCTGCATCTACCTGTTGGGCATTTCTGTTCGCCTGGTATTTCAGCAGAATTTCGACTTGAAAATGTGAGCCAACACCCAGACCCAATGCAATTTTGCGACCGTTAATTTTTAAACCTTTATTTAATTATACAGTATACAGTTTTTTTGTTGGGATTAGGAACTATAGGATCACCAGGACTATATCTATGGTATGGTAAAACCAGGGATATATCGGTCAACTAGGAACCATAGAGGGAGAAGGGTACGGCTGAAAAAAACGCATGCATGTTCATGTTTTTGGACCATTTTCGGGCAAAATTTGCACGAATTTCGAGATTTAGGTTCACCAGGACTATATAAATGGTATGGTTAAACCAAGAATATATCGGGCATCTAGGAACCATAGTGGACGATTGAATGAAAACAGCATACATATACAAAATTTTGGATCCTTGCCGAGCGAATATTGCACGGATTTGGAATTGTAGGTTCACCAGGACTATATAAATGGTATGTTAAAACCAAGGATATTATGGGTCATCTAGAAACCGGTTTTGATTTTCTGTTTGGCTAGGGATATGCCCGATTTGACTTAAAAATAAAAATACTTCATAGCCCGGACATTTTTGCATGAATAAATTAATGTTGTTTTTTCCAACAAGTTCTCTTGCTCCGACTGGGCTCTCTATGAATGCCATTCTGAGGTACGATATGTAGATCGCTCGTTGGCAGCCCATTGCTACGGGCTGCTGAGGCTTGGAAGCCAATTGGCCTTAGCCATCTTAAGGCGATACTGCTTAAGAATGCCGTCGATGTCCACCCAAAAAGTAAACCTCTTGTCCAGAACAAATCCAAGATACTTGGCGCTTCTGCCAGGATGTGTGGAGCTTGCATCTATTCAGACAGCAGAAGCCTCAACGTGTGTGGTTGACCGCCTGGTATTTCGAGGCGTAGAGCTTAATGTTCCACCTGCGATTTCCGATAATCGATAACTTACTCCGTTTCCAAGCAATCGATAAAAATCGATATGGATATCCTGTTTTTTTGCGCAATTTTGGTAGATAATAAGAGCTAGAGTCCCCAAACTTGACATATAGCTTCTAAAATAGAATATATATATGCATTTGATGTTGGAAGAAGAGGGTTCAGGTTATCGCCTCTTCAGGACTAGGTCCCGACTAGAACCTCTTACTTGTTTTATTTTGTTACTCATATTTAAGTTATTATGTAGGGCTTTGCAAATAAGTCTGAAGCAACTTAAAACTTCGCCCAAACAATCTTAGAATCGCATTTATACCGAGGAAGTTTGGATTCTGCGTCTCAAATGAATTTTCTTATAGATCTTCGGAAATGTAGATGAGCGCGAAACGCCTCCCACCAAATCGTTGACCCCCAACTCTACCAAGGATAAAACGATCTTTGAAAATGAGTTCGAAGCCGAGCGGATGGTTATAAAAAATTGCATACAAACGTTTTTCGCAACTTTTCCAAACTTGCGGGTGGTATTTCCCGTCTTAGCGTGCACCCACATCACATAAGTCAGTCAGGACAAACAATTTTATATATATAAACTTATAAATTCAGCACTTTTCAGCCTGTGTAGTGCCAAAGAAATGTATGGCTAAGCCCTATGCTGTTTGGGCTGCTATCAATCAGCAAAATCTTGATAAGATCGAACAAGCGCCAGCAGTAAATAAATACAGCTCAAAAACAGCCTCAAGTTGGGTTATATACACCAAAAGCGTAAAAAAAATGTATTGAGAGAATGTGTAACAGAAGCCTAAAAGGCAGGCAGGCGGACAGGCAGGCAACATAACTAACTATAAACGCAATTACCTAGGCAAACGGCAGCAGCGGCAACAAAGGCGAGTACACGCTACACCAGACCCAAAGCCAGACCCCAGTCCATATCCAAGGCCCGGTCCCAAACTGGACTCAGTCACTACCAAGTTACTCAAGTTACAATGAAATTTGTCTGAGACAAGTAAACATTACCACCGCATGGAGCAAGTTGCGCAGGCGTGCAAGAAAATGGCGTACGGTAGCCGCAGATGCGGTTGGGGAACATGGTTAGCCATGGGGTTTCCGACAGGAAATCCAGAACCCTAAGTCGCGGCCGCAGCCGCGCTCGCAACCATGAGGAATGTGTTGGCCGCACGTCTTTTGCTAATAACCGTCATAAATTTAGAGCGGCAACAAATTGAAATTAAACGAAGGCGACCCAGTCGAGGCACGGCGAGATCAAGCCGCTGTTGCCACAGACTACGGTTCCTTAGCCGCAGAATGCAATCAGAGCGAGAGAGAATCGTCGTGATTTTGTGTGGGTAACCATGGAGCAAAGGGAAAAAGAAATGTGTAACTACTTTGTTGTTGTCATGTAGTTAGCACTTGAAGATTTATCCGCGTGAATTAATTGCGATCTTGTTGCGCAGATTCCATGCGAAATGAAGACCGCTCGAATGTGCAACAGCTGCTGCTGCTGCTGATGCCACCACATGTGGCGCACAGTCCAGGACCTTATCAAATTAAACGGTAGCACAGCTGGAGCTGATCACCGGTCAGCTACTTGTTGGCCATACAAAAATTATGACAATTATGGTGCGCCATAAATTCAAGACGCGTCGCCAGTGTCGGTCCACATCAAGCGCAATACCCCGTATACTGCTGTATCCCCAGGCACCAAGACCCAAGCCCCGACTCCGGACTCCAACCTAAGTCCCAAGTTCAGCTGGAAGCTCTTCTGGCGTTCAGCGATCTGTGGCATTATTCAGGGGCGCATTGTTATTGTTACCAAATGCTCGTAAATCAAGCAGCATTTGATGTGTCACAGAGTCACAAGCCGTTGAACTGATCACTGATCGCTGATCGTTGATCGGCGACAACATTATTAGGCGAGATCCTCAATCGCCCATTCGAGCATTCGAACATTCGACCGATCGCCGTACGATCGACACTTATGACATTATGGATTATGATTATGGCGCTCGCGTGCTGTTTATGTATGCCAAGCGAATAACGCAAAATATCTTCACAGTTTCTGTTGAAGCTTTCGCTTTTCAATACGCTAGTAAAAAGGGTTACTTCAACGGGTATATAGAATGTTATTGAAAAATCTTCAGCATATAAGCTTTGAATAAAATTGGTAAGACTTTAAATTCCGTTCAAAGGCATCAGCTAAGAGCCTAAAATTACTCGATTCCTTGCTGTTCAAAACCCATTACTGAGAGACAAAAGAACTAGGTTAAAGAATTTTCGAATGCTAGATTCTTAAAGTATGAAAACTCTGCTTTTTTCATTTTCCAACAGCAAACTCAGGCTACTTTCATTAGGCGGACACTTCTCTTGATTGGGCAAACTTGACCGAATATCGGTGTCTGCCCAAGGGAGTTTTACTTTTTTAATTATCTTCCAAAAGCTTAAGCCAAAACTCAAGTATCTTGCATTACGAGGCTATGAATTAAATGTTAAAAATAAATTATTTAGCTAGGATTTATAATCTTTAAGATATTTGCCTTTTACAGGGCATCTGGGAAGTCGTGTAAACATTTTCAACGCATGACCGCTGAATATTTTTGTTTTTTTTTTTTGGAGTGCGACGTGGCAATCGATGCCGCGTGGATCGCCGAATCACCGGATCGATGGATCGTTCATCAGCATGCGTCGCAGGCGGCGTTGGCTTGTTGGTTGCTGATCAATCAACGCCTTTAAAAGTGACTGCGACTACGACGGCGACTGCGACTGCGACTGCAGTTTCTTATTACGAATACTGCAGGGTAAGTCGCGACGGGGCTCGCTTCATTTTGGCAAATATATTTTCGCGCATTTCGCGACGTTTACAAATTGCCGCCATTAATTAGGCAAAAAATGCACGCACCACCGCAGCCGCCGACGACGACGACGACGACGACTACGACGTCCAGTTCCAAGTCGACGTCGAAGACGCGCCGTGTAGGCGAGCCCAAAAATCAGCTACCAGCCTGAGCTGGCAGCGGCAGCGGCAGCGAATGGGGCACTTGGACTGCGGCTTCAAGCTGCCAGGCAACACATCCAACACATAATAATCAGCGGGTGGACAGCAACAGGATTGGCATGCGCTTGAAATTAATTACCCCTCACCCTCAGGCATTTGGCTGTTGTTGCTAATTAAGTTGTTTGCATTTTGAGTTATTGAACTGCGACGTTCATGACGGACCGAGTTCTGATTTTGGGCAGCATTACGTGTAGCAATGCGGCCCAGAACGGAAATGCATGCGTTGAGCTTTGGGATTTAATAATCGAAGGAATAATCTAAATTTAAGACAGCTCCTCCAGCTTCAGGAAATACTATCTAACGAAACTGTTCGCTGGATTGGCACATTCCAAGTGCCAGTGCTTGGCTCTTCCTTTTCTTGGCTCTTCCTATTCTTGACAAGTTTGCACTGCAACAATTCATTTAATTAAACTAAAATAATATTTTAAAGATATTTAAAGGCTTTCATCTACTACTTATAACTATAAAAAAATTAAAATAAATATAGTACATGATACTTACTATAAGCTTATAATTTACCAAAAGTTATTCTTACCGTTTAATCTGTACAACCATATTTGTGCATAACTTTAGAAACTTTTATTTCTGTATTAATACACCTTTTTTTAATAATTTATTAATTTAAACTCATTCAGAAAACCCGTATAAAGTAAAATTTTACCTTAAAAACTGAATTGCTGCGTTAAAACCTAAAAAAAAGATATGTACTTTATTTTTGGATTTGCTTTTCTGTATGCTAGTTAATGATTTCGTTTCCATTCTAAATACATATTTTAATGAAATTGCTTTGCTTTTGACTTGCCCCTTCAGCAAACGCTTCGCACTGACTCAGTTTGTCAGGCGTTGCTCTCGCCCCTCCTCTGCACAGCTTAATCGCTTGACTCAGTTGTCAAGCTGCCCCCGCCTGGCTGTCATCTCTGCTGGAGCAGCTGTCCAAAAGGCATTTGGTTGCACTTGTTGGTCAGCTGTCCAACGGTGGAATGCATATCGCGTGCTCAGCCCGGACTGCGGCTCACTGAACCATGGCTCAAGGCACCACCAACAACGATAACAATAACCATAACAACAATATCAGCGGCAAAAGAAATTAAAGATGCGGCGTGGCTGTCAACGCATTTGTTGTTGTTGTGTCGTATAATTAGTGTCTGTGTCTCCAAATAAATCAGTTGCCTTCAGCTGACAGAGAGACAGACCGACAGACAGACAGGCGGAGCGGGTAGGAGGAGCAGCTCAGTGACTATTTCAGTTGGAGCACAGTTGTAAGGGCCCTATCAAAAGGGGTCAGCGGTTGATTTGTTTCGGACTCAAACAAAGTTGGGATATTTACTTTATCAGCGTCTGCCTCTGATGTGATTTAAGTGGTTTTCCACAATGTCCAGACATTTTCATGTCTTTATTTACAATGGTGTTATGGCTTTTCCAACATAAGCTCTAATGCAATGGCATAAAAACTATTTAGGTGGGTAAAAAGTCATGCAAATTATTGACTACGATCTTTAAGAATATATGTCACGATTTTTTTTTATAATTAATGCTAATATTCTAAGATACAGCAGTGATATGATAAAAAAAAGGTTGGTTATTTTTTTTGATTATACAGATTTGAAAATTATTTATATTTTGTAAATTATTTATATTTATGTATTACTAATTATATTAAACAAAAGCACTCAGAATTCTTTTAATTGAAAAATAAAAATAGTTTTCGTTTGTCATTTATTTAAAAGGTATTGAGAGAGAACAATTTTTCCAATATTAATATTATTTAAAGTTTTCTTTAATTAACCATACATCTAAATGGCTACTCGCTTGGGCAACGGGGGTATATTCAGCAGACGACTTGATTCAGCTCAAAATAAATTTGTTAAACATTTTCGAAGCCATTTCTTTCCTATATTTTTAACCGAATACAGTTCTGTTTTTTCCACTGTGTGGCGCTTTGTTTCTATGTTAATTTGTTAGTATGTTTTTGGAGTTTGATTTCAATTAAGTGCTGTCACGTGTTGCCGGATTCTCGGGCCCTATTGGCAACGATGGGGATAAGATAATATGTTTTGAAGCCATGTAAAGCGTGCGTGTAACCTGTCTTGGACTTAGTGTTAGCTTGGCATCAACACTCGTCGCATTTCGGCTCGAGCTGCCGCTCTTTAAGTGGTTCAAGCCAAGCTGTAACATACAACCAACAATGCCACATTATGGGGCATTATCAGCGTTATCAATAAGCACATTAATTTGATTAATAACCACCTGCAAATCATTTCCATGCCACACAAAAGACTGCACAGCTGATAAAAAAATGTGCAGAAAAAAATCGCACAATCCCCTAAGTAGCAAAAGTGTCAGCAACAAATGCTGATGATGCCTGATGATGAAATGGATGAAGAAATGCCATTACGGGTAGGCAGCCGCATCAATGCCAGTGCGAGGCAATTTACGCATCGACTTGCGACGACACATAACCAATCCAAGAGCTGGCAACCCTTTCGCTGCTTACACACATAAATCGCTATCTTTATGGAATTTTTATGGGCAATCTCCTCACACACACACACACACACACAAAGACACACACACATATGCATACAGAAGCCGAACTAATACAGCGCTTCCGTCGCATTCGCGTTGCCAACAGATTTGAAATTGCCTTCAGAAAGGAGTTGGAAAAAGGTGCACACGACACCTGCGCATCATCATTATGTGGGTGTACGGATAGGTTAAGTGGTACATTCATTTTTTTCACCTCTTTCCTTTTTTTTTTTTTTTTTGTTGGGTAGTTTGGGTCTTTCGTTAAAATTTCCTGAGTTGCCTGCTGCTGGCGGCTCAATTTGCTTCGATAACCTGAATAAACTGCCTGCCAAAACTGTGTGTCAAAATAACTTATAGATATGGGATCAACCCTCACTACTTGCCCAATCATTATAGATTTTTCCATTAACCATTTAGATGAAAGAACATTCTGTTTAATCTATATGCACTATATAAAAAATAAATTTGTAAAATGTGTGTCTTAAGCTTTTGGAGTACATTTTCTTTAGAGATGCATGTTGTTAAGCAAAGCTCACTCTCTCCCATAATCTCACTCTTTTTACATAAATAATTGATAAATGTAAATCAAATTAGAAAGAGTAGTTTAAGTTAAGGAAAAAGAACAAATGAAGAGTGCAAAGAACAGATCTACGAAAGCGTTAACTAAAAACCAAATAAATTATAAATAATATATATAATAATAATTATAAATAATATAAACATGTAATAAGTAATAAAGTTAGTAATGAAGAAAAAACAAAATTAATCAGAAAATATAAATTAATATAGCAATTAAAACTTAGATTTACTTATTAAAGTGACTTAAAGCAATTGCTATTAAATTTAAATATGTTTACATACCAACTATCCATCTGTTAGGCATAAAACGAACTAAGCCTAACGCCTGTGCGGCATAGCCTCTGGTTATTGGTATCTAAAACCATTTAAGCACTTTGTAAGTGAGTACTTCGAGTACTTGTGGGTTTTAGTTACGCCACAAGGACATAAGCAGCGATTCCAACGCCTTTTGGTTGTCCAATGCGGCTCCTGGTCCTGTCGCCTCTGGCCGGTGTTCGGTTACCAGTCGAAAGGACCGGCCATGCCAGAGGGTTGTGCCGTCTATTGGACTGCTCGGTCATAGGGCGACGCTTACTTACCCAGTATTTATCGATGGACGCGTGTCTGTTTATTAATTGAAGTATTTGTTCTGCGTGTGTGTTTTTTTTCTGGCTGAGCGTGTGTGTGAGTGTGTGTTGTTGCCGCCTGTTGTCTGTTTGTTTTGTTTCATTTTTTTTTTCATGGTTGTTGCCGCTGTTGTTGTTGTTGCTTTTGTTGTTGCCATGTCGCGTCAACACTTGAAACTTGAAACATGCCCTGCTTGAAGTGTTGTAGTTGTTACTGTTGTCGTTGTTGTTGTCGTTCTGCGAGATATTTTCGTCTTCTTGCACAGTTCGCCAGTTGTTTACATTAACCAATTAGCGGGGGTGGCGAACCTTTGACATTTTATTGACATTTGTGGTCTCATATTTGCTTTGACAGACACTCTTTTGTCATGCTACTGTGTGTGCGTGTGTCTGTGCGTGTGTGTGCGTACGTGTGGTATATGTTTACAGCTGAACTGTATTTATGTCTACACGCTTCGTAAAACTATAGAAACTGCATAACAAAATAAGGTATCTTTTCTTTTAACTACATAAAATTAAAATAGTTTTCATACATATATATATAAATAATATGAATATAAAATACCATTTTTGTATAAAAAGGATCTTCTTTCTAAGAAATAGATATTAAAATATTTATATATTTTGTATGCATATACTAACTAAGCCCAGACGGTGTAATTAGCTCAGCCTGTTATCTGCAGCCTGGCTTAAAGTACATTTAATCTACAGCTTAAAACAGTTACAGCATATAATTAACTTTACATGTGCTCGGAAATTTTCCGAGGGTCCCGTATATAATCCCTTACAAAATAATCTTTGCGCATTTCGATATTTTTAATACGAATAAAAATGTATGTTAAAGAGATTTGGTTGGGTCTGCTAGTTTGAACCATTTGCTTGCAAAATGTTTTGCAATTTAAGGTTGACTAGCAAAGCGAAGCTGATATTTACACAATCAACACATCTCCGAAAATTTTCTCTTAAGCACTATTAGGTGCTATATATATTTTGAAAAATCATTGAACTTTTTTATTAATTCGATTTCTGTACTCAAATACTTTTGAGCTTTTAAATATCTGGCTGCTGGTGCCATTAAATCTGGTCGTGAAATTGAAATTAAGAATTGAAAATATCGAAATGCTTTAACGTGTAATGCTAAATAGAATTGGGTATGTAACTACTACATAGTATGTTAAATACTTCTCATTGAATTACTGCAGCAAGATAATTTTTTATAGTTGTCTTTCCACATGACCACATGATCCAACTGTTCACTTTATTATTTAACTGGTCTATTGGATAAAGTGAATCTAAGGACTTTCCCACTTGAAAATCGCAGCTCAGCCTTTAAAATGCAGCTTGAAATCGTGCAAAGCCTTAAAGTTTGTGCAGAAGCAGTAGCTGAATGAAAAGATAGGAAAATCAGTAACAACAACAACGGCAAGGAAAAGGGAAATCCTAGCTCAGATTTAGCTGCCCCTTTTAAGCGCTTTGCTGCTTATCGATTTATTATAAAACTGTGCGCTAAATGTGCGGCCCAAGCGATGCTCACACCCCCAGGCAAACCACCTTCAACAAGAAGCTGCCCCTAACCCGCTGCAGCAGCAAGCCCCCCTGGCCAGTGGCTGCTGACACATCAAACATTGATGTGGATGGGCGATGGGCGATGGGCAATGGGCGATGGTCTTTGGCAAACCAATGCCACACCACAAGCTATACACACATGCCACGCCCACTAACACAAGAGCAACAA